TCCTTAGATTAACCCATAAGGTATTTAAGTCTTTCTGAAACAATTATAAGTGAGTATTACCATATGGGCTATGGATTTTTGTAGGCTTACTTAGTGACCTGCCACTTTGCTATCATTGTTTCTATTAACTTTTTGATGAAGACTAGGATTTTCTCTCTATATATGTCATTTTAAATAATATTATTTCTACTTCTTTTCCACCTCGGAGTCCCTTTATTTCCTGTTTTTGTCCGATTGCTCTAGCCAAAACCTCTACTACAGAGCTAAACAGAAGTAATGACAATGGGCATTCTTATCTTGTTTCCAACCTTAAGGGGAAAGCTTTCAGTTTTTCTCTCTTCAGTGCTAAATACTGAATGTTAGTTTGCAATATACAGACTGTATTATAGTGAGGTAGAGTCCTTCTATTCCCACATTATTTTGTTTTTATCATAAGTGGGTACTAATTCTTATCAAGTGCTTTCTTTGCCGCTACTGGTATTACCATGATTTTTATCTTTATAAGTTAATTACATTAATTCATTAAAGTATCCTTGTATCCTTGAATGAATCCCATCTGATCACGATGTATAACCCTTATGATACTGTTAAAAATTATGCATATTATGTGGAAGAATTCTGTATCTTTGTTCATCAATGACATTGGTCTATAATTTTCTTGTCTTGTACTGTCTTTATCTGGTTAAGGTACTGGGTCAATGTTGGCTTCAGAGAACGCATTAGGGAGCATTCCTTCTTGAATTCTTAAAAACAATTTGAACAAGAACATTAGTTTTCTTTAAAGGTGTATAATTTATTTGTAACCCTGTGTGGACCTGGCCTTTCATTTATTGGAATATTTTTAAATTAATCTTTCAACCTTCATGCTTGTAATCAGTATGTTCAGTTCATTTGGTTTATTTGAATTAGTCTTGGTTTTATGTCTTGAATATTTTTGTTTATATTATTTAAAAAATTCTTCAATGTCATACACCAGAAATGAGTTTTATTTTCAAATTTAACTGTTTGCTTCCAATGGAGCCTATTTTGTAAGTAATGAGTTACATGATAAGTATTTATTTTTAACTTCTTTTTAGTGATTATTAGCTTGAAATTCTGGAGCAAAATTAGTATCAAAATATCTGCATATTAACCAACCACAAATTAATACCATTCAAATGAAGAAAGTTATTCTTTAAAAAGATATAGGTGGGCCCTCCCTGGTGGCGCAGCGGGCTAAAGCACAGCATCGAGAATCTAAAGCCACTTCCGCATGAGTTCGATTCCCGCCTGCCCCGGAGGTGACCACATGGCGTGGCAGACCTCTCCTGACCCGCCCAGTGTACTTCGTCGATCTGCCTGTTCTGTTCCCCCCTCTGTCTCTGGTGAAGCCTCTCACCACCCCTGAGCCTCTGGCCTGTACCCCAGTTCTGTATGCACAAATAAATAAATCTTTAAAAAAAAAAAAGATATAGGTAAGGGGCCCTTCTCCTGGGGCACAAAGAGTCAGAACTGACCTGTACCCCAGTTCTGTATGCATAAATAAATAAATCTTATTTTAAAAAAAGATATAGGTAATGACAGAAAAAGTGAGACCTTAAAATCAGTTTACTGTCTCCTTTGCTTCATACCATAGAGAAAAACCCATAGAACTAAAATTACCTATTGTTTTCTTGTTTTTATGCTGAAAAAGTAAAAAACATGTTCTTAGAAGTCAAATTTATATAACACAGATCAAACACTATTACACCCTTTCAGAAAAATGGGAAGGATGCTGACTTAATCCTTTTAACTTTATTCCTATCTGATCACCAGCAAAATCCCTTCCTCAAGCAGGAAAACCCTGGTTTCTAAAATAATTTAAAAAAGAAAACCTAAAACACTAAAGAATTATATATTTTCTTTAAAGTTACCAAAAAGATATACAGCTTAATGAGTCTAGGTGAATTAGTTTTGAGGGACGGATAAGCCCTATCATATAGGCAGTAACCACTTTCATTGATACAAGCATATGCCATGTCAGGAGGTAGACACACATGGACTGAACTTGGAAAAGAAGAAACCAGCTGGAATTTTAATGATCCAGTAATTGCAACTGGAGAGCCGAAGCATAGGTGTAGGTCTCTTCATTAGCCAATCCCAGCCTATAAATCTTCAGGTGAATAATCAGTAGCAAAGAAAATTTTCTGCAAGGTACAAAGCAGTGAGAGATCCTTCAGTCTAACTATACTCATATTTGAAAGTCCTGCTAAGGTAGAGGCTGCCCCTCCTTCAATCTAAGATGATTGGATAATAACTAAATCATTTAACAGTCACCTTTCCAACTCAGCTTCTAATTATATGTAAGAGACTAGTTCCTCAATTTAGCAGCAGAAAGTTAAGAGTGACTCCAAAGGGAAATACCTATGTTACTCCCAGTTTTATTTTATACATAATACTCAGAATATCCAATTTTGAAAAATGAGGCATGCAGAGAAGAAGGAATAACTAACCCATAATTAAGTCAAGAGAAACAGACCCAAATATGAACCAGACAGGCGAATCATCAGAGTAAAATGGAAATTGGTAAAACTGAAAAATAATCTAAATGAATTTAAGTTGGCTTAATAGCAGATCAAAAGTTAGACTTACATATACATTATCAATTGATTTTCAACAAGGGAGTCAAGGCAAATCAAAGGAGATGATAAAGTGGTACTAAAACAACTAGATCAACGTCCTTAAGAGAATAGGCATAATGAACAAAAATGGTAAATACGTAGAAAAGTATAAGAAAGTATTTTATCCTTAAAAATGTTAAAACAGGGCCTTCCTTGGTAGAGCAATGGGTGGTTAAAGCACAGCGCTATGATGCTAGAAGCAGCCACTTTATGAGTTCGATCTCCGGCCAGGGAGGTGACCCACATGGCCGGCAGACCTCTCCTGACCCTCCTGCTCTTCCCCTCAGCAGTGTACTTTGTCGATCTGCCAGTTCTGCTCCCCACTCTGTCTCTGGTGAATCCTCTCACTGTCCCTTCACCTCTGGCCTGTACCCCAGTTCTGTATGCATAAATAAATAAATCTTTAATAAAAAAGTTAAAAACACTGGAGTCTACATACAAAAAACTGTATTGAGGGGGATTACACATATTGATAGATGTGTATAATATATGCAAAATATATGATTACAGTAGTACAAACAGTGAGGATGGGTAAACAGAATTCAAGTGTTATAAATGTAAACTAAATATAAGTTCTTACATTTAACATTAAGTTGTAAGATATTACAACAATCAATTTCCTAAACAGAATGTGGTAAGTTTAAGATATATACCTGTAGTCACTAGAACTAAGCACTGGGAAAGTACCAAAAGTGGTATTACTAAAAAGTCAAGAAAGCAGAAGATTCAAATATATTTGTTTAATCTAAAAGAAGGCAGAAACATCAGGAAGAGAGGATAAAATTCAGATGTGTCAAAAAAACTAGAAACAGCAAAATAGTAACCAAACCAGATATTATCAGTAAATTATATATTATAATTATATAATATCAATAAATTATATTCCATAAAATGAATGAAAATCCCACTTAAAACACAATGATTCTTAGATTAAGACAAACTTTGTTCACAAAAGAAATGCCTTAAATATAAAGATGAAGCTAGAGTGAGAGTAAAAAGATGAAAAACCTCCCATGCAACTGCTGAAATACGATCTAGTGAGGTAACACGAGAAACATTTTTAACGGGCAATTTATCAGACGGATATAATCATTCCAAATGGTAATTATATAATAACAGAGATCCAAAATACAGAAAGCAAAACCTGACAGGAGTGAAGGGAGAAATAGCTAAAATGAAAATAAATTTCAATGTTCCATTCCACAATCAACAGAATGGAAAACCATGAGAGCATTAAACAAGACCACCAACCATTCTTATTTAAATGACAAAACTACCACTGCAGTTTTTTAAATATAATTGGTACATATAACAGACATTCTTCAACACTGTCTTTAATACAGAGATGTGTTAAAAAGGTATATTTGGAAAACGAAATACTACCTGCACTAACACATCTGTACTAAGATGTACATGTCACTTCCAGTGACTATCTACCTTTCTTGATGATCTACTACACTATTTCAAACCACTATAAGCATGATTAGCAATGGCAGTAGTTTCTTTATCTGAATAAAATCTAAATAATGGAATGATTTAAACACTAGGATTGCTACTGTAAAATCTGTCTGCTACCCACTTCTCCCAGCCTCTGCCAATGTTAATTCATTTAAAAATAACTTAGATGATCATAACTGCAAAATTTAGCATAAACTGTAGAGGCCGATGGCATTATTTTTTATGATATTAATAAATGTCTAATCTTTAAGACACGGAGAGGATGGAATAGAGCAAAATGGAGAATTACAATGACATCACAACTGTCTTCACTGGTAAATGATTAGCTCTGATGGGTTGTGCATTTTTTATATAACGGTTTTGGAGTTCTGATGTGAATAATACAACAGAAACTTTCCTCCATTATGTTTAGAGTTGATAGCTAAACATTAGAAATTAACTGAATTAAGTAAAAGCATTTTGTACAACAATTCATTATCATTAAGAACTCACTAAGGAAGTGGTAAAAACCTAATCCTCATCCTTCACTTCCAAATTCTTTAGAAAATCTATTACTGGGATAATTATGATCTTTCATCACAATGACATTTATTCATAGATAACTAAAATTTTAAACACAAGCAGAGAATAATTAAAAAGAAATGTTTGAGTGTTCTAAAATTTTCATTTACCATAACAGTAGAAGATTCTAACAATTATTCTGTACAGTAGCATATGTTACAACTTTTCTTAACAGAGCCCTCCCTTTGATGGGTCAAATATGCTTAAATCAAAATAGAAGATTATTTGTTTGGCATGTGTCCTTATCTATTGATAAATTTAAGTTATGAATAGTTCCTATGAAGTTCAAACAAGACAAAAATGTATGTGAATTACTGAGAAAAAGTGGAAGATATTTTTTACCTGTATCCATACTTTGGTTCAACTGTTGATCGTTTGTTTCTCCATCTTCACTGATATATCCAGGAGGTGGCGTTTCTATAAAATTATAGAACAAATCAAGTACAGCTGCAATTAAATCTTTTATCTCAGCAACCAGAGGTAACCAATCACTCTGAATAATAAATATGAATGTTATATAACATTATAAAAAGTAATATTGGATTAGAGGGCTTGTGATTCTGGTTCTGTTCTAAATCTTACATATGAATCCTTAAAGTCTACTTGTAATTCAATCAAATTCTCTGGGCATATTTTCTTAGCTATTATTTACATATCTGGCTCATTCCCATATGTATATTTTTCTGGGGCAAGAGCCAAAAATATAACTTCAAAGATGCTTCAGTTCTGAATCAGTATGTTTTAAAGACATTAGTATCTAAAACACTTTCTTTAAACTAATGACCATCATAAGCCAGTTACAGTACAAGGTGTGTGAATATGCACATGTATTAATATACACAAGACTTTGGATTACAAGTAACATCTCATACTAGGTTCTACAGTGCAAAAAAATAGCGTGGTATGTTTTAGAATGGTCTAGTTTGAATTTACGTTAAAAAAAAAAATTTTCCGGGTACTTCTGTCCAGTAATTTTGAATATTTGAGGTGAAAATTAGGCAAACTGCTCCCTGAAAAAAACTCAAGATCCTAATGGGCATCTTCTGAGTGAAATGTGTACTTTCAAAAGATACCTGAATAGCAGAATAAGCTTCATATAAAATAAAAAATACTGTTACAGTTTTACTAATTGCAAATTTCAAGGAGGAAAATATGTTTAAATTTTATCAATGTTTTATTTAATATTTACATTGCTGGACAGTTTGAAGCAATTCATGATAACGTAGATACAAACCTAAAAATAAAGTGTTTAAGTGTCAACAGGGGTGGAGAGATGTCAGTTAAATGTCTCCTTCATTAACACTTTACAATCTCCCATCAGTTCAGTTATAAATCGTAACTTCTTAAATATCAAACTTTTCACTTAAAGAGTCAGTATCCAAAACTTAATAAAATTCTGAAAATAAATTACCTTCATAAACTCAAATGAGACAAAAAGAATAATACATATTATTACGTACTATTTTAAAGGTAAAGTCTTTTTTAATTTAACTACCCATGTCTCAAAAATCTAGATTATTTTTTCAATTATTCATCTATAAAAAAATAATAATAAACTGTCATTAATTTTAGAGAAGTATTAAAATTTATTTTGATGCAGAATAAAAAGTGAACCCTTAGACTTTGCTGTCAGTTAACAGCTGAGTAAAATCTCATTGCCCAGAAGAGCAAATAGGTGTAATTTACTTTTTTATTTGCTGCTTTGTAAAGCACCGAACTCTAACCAAATTTAAAGAATAGAGAAAAAAATCAGCACAAACATTTCCAAAAGTGAAAGCCCTAAACATTCTGATTAATATACTTCAAATAATACTGGGTAAGTGTTTTATAAGCCTGCTGCTCACAGGTCAGATTTCTATTATTACTGAATAACACTAATCCCACATCAAAGACTTAAAATACCTCCCCTTCTTTACACTACACACATATTAAATCAACTTCCAGGTAAATTCTTCTCCCTAGGAAGTGAATGTTATTAGTCTTGCTTAACCAAAATTCAATCCTCATACTCCACTTTCTCCCTAACTTCTCAAAGTTTTACTTTCTAGCAAACCAAAAGGCAGTCTTAAGTCCTCTTTCAAAATAAAGGTGTAATCAGAAAAGTATACAATAAACCACTCAAAATTATTTTAAAAATCCTTACATTTTGAAAATAATCTTCAATGAATCAGCTTTATATTCATCAGACACAGTGAACTCTTTCTCTTTTTCTTAAAGTACCTGAAACACTAAATTCCTTATGTGTTTTCAGATGTGTAAAAGAAGAATGAAATAGAGAAGTATTATGAAAAGAGAAAAAAACTGAGATGCTAAAAAAACCCCCATGTATAGCCTAAGTCTCAGCCTGATAATAAACCTTTTGTTTCTTCAAAGAGGGGGGGAAAAAAAAAAACCTGGAAAAGAGAGACAAAGAAAGAAATACTTATTTCCCTCCTGAAAAACAGGGAAAGCTAAACGTGTAACTAGCAACCACATCACAGAATAGTCTTAGATCATAACAATACAGCAGAATTTGAGAAACACATGGTTCAATCCATTTATTTTTTTCAGCAGGAACTACTAAAGCCCAGATGCAAATAACTAAAGTAGGTTTTCTGATTTCCTGTTACCTCCATAGAATTAAAAGTTTGTAAGTTCTATGGAAATGTTACATTACTCTTAAACATTATCATGCTAGCTATAAAGTGATTATTGGTTAATTTTTACCCATACTTGTCTCAGGAATCCTTTCTTTCTGTACCATTTATTTCACTTACATCTGCATCTCTCTTAGCTTCAACAATTCAGGCAAACTTACTAAGATATTTTTCTTTTCTGCTTCTCTCAGTACTCTGATGAAAGCAAGAGCAAACAAAAAATGACAAAGTGAAACTTTTAAAACACACAAAACTGTGAAGTACTAGGTTAACACTTTTCACAAAACAATCACAAAATTTTTTTTTATTCAAACTTAAGAAGCAGTTTTTTAAAAAAGTCAAATCATAATTTGGCAGTTTATGAATAAAAACTGCATCTATCCCAATTTTTAGAGTTTCAATAGGCAAAAATACCTGGGATGTAATTACTCTGTGGCTCAATTCCTGCTGGGAAATTAGTGTTTTCTGGAATGGAGTGGGTATAGTCATCCAGAGGTGGTAGTTCTGTTAGGATCTCAGTATGTCGTGGCACTAATACCGGAGGCAAAACTAAAAGAATAAAGGAAATACAAGTTAATGGCAAGGAATATGGGGTAAGATGGATTGACATTTATTAAAAGATTTTACAGACAAAGAAAAAGTGGCCTGCTTCAGTGCAAAAGGTAGAGTACATTTCCTTGGTATTATTACACTGGTAATCGAGAAACTTACAGATCTATGATTTTTAACTTACTATGTTATCTACAATTTCAAAGTCCTAATTTATCTGGTACTTTGGGAATAAGGTGATCCTTATAATATTACTAAAGAGGTTCATAAATTCCCATTGGAAAAAGCTGCAGAAAAAAATCAGCTCTGGGGAATTTTCTAAATATACACTGCATTCTTCCTTAAATTTCAAGTATATACTTAAGTAAAAACCTTGCTATGAGTTTTACTAAATTTTTTAGATACACATGATGTCATTAAAGTACTTCAAAAAAGATGTTTAGGCCTTCCCTGGTGGCGCAGCGGGTTAAAGAACTGCACTAAGAAGCTAAAGCCACTTCCACATGAGTTCGATCCCCGCCTGCCCTGGAGGAGATCCACATGGCGTGGCAGACCTCTCCTGACCCGCCCGCTGCTCCCCTCAGCAGTGTACTTCGTCGATCTGCCTGTTCTGTTCCCCACTCTGTCCCTGGTGAATCCTCTCAACCTCCACATCTCTGGCCTTACCCCAATTCTGTATGAATAAATAAATAAATCTTTAAAAAAAAAAAAAAAAAGATGTTTAAAGAGCAAAATAACTGAAAACAGTTAATGCAGCAGATAAGCATATCAGTTTAGTTCTAAGCAGACAATGAATTAGGATTAAAATTCTCTTTATATGTACTCTGATGCCAAGTAGCATGGTAGCCCAAGAAAGTGACATATCTTCTCTCTAAAATATAATTTTCCATGAACTATTTTAAAAGTTAAAAAGAGTATTTTTAAATTATTCACCAGATTATTATTTAATCTAAGGTAACATCCGTTTTTTTGGCCAAAATTAAAACAAAGGGGGGAAAATCTCCTTTTCCTACCTGGTGTCTCAACTCTCTGGTAGTGGTAAGGGTTTACACAAACTTCATCCTTTTTAAGATTAAAAGCATATTCGCAGTTTTCAATTGCTTTCAGTTCATGATGACTGTGAAGGTCAGGCCAGCGCCATAATCGGCAATATATAACATGTGGCAGTCCTTTTCGATGAGATACCTGAAGACGACCATCAAGAGATCTATTGGAAAGCAAAGGGAAAAGAAAGGTAGGAACTTAAAAAAAACGGGGTAGTCAATTTAGCTAAAATTAGTACAATAAGAGCAGAAAGAAATGACAGACAGTTAGTTTTAGTGAGTACAAAGAAGAAAAATGTACTATTTAATGGATCTGATATAAAAAGTAAGCAGCAGCACTAGCAGATGTTTCTAGTAAATATGCTACACAAATGGCTCAATGTCAATGAATGGCTAACAAATTGGGAAAATACTGACTTTCCCAAAAAGGTATTTATTACGGTTTATGCTTGAAAAACTTTTCGATTTCTATTTTTAGTAAATCAAACTCTTATTTAAGGATGCTTTTAAGGGCATTAATTCCACAGGTGACTAAGCTATCAAAATAAGGAACTAGTGTGAAGAATGATAAATACCAACATAATGTAAAAGTAATTTACTCAAGCTAATGTAATTCACTACCCAGTTCTGGTTGTTTTGTTTCCTACGGTGTATTTCTACAGCTCACATATAAATGCAATGGTGATGAATATGATGAGATGAAATGGACAAATACCAGTATGTTCAAAAAAAGAGAGTAAGTGATTAAAAACAAAACATAACATGAAAAACAGCAAGCCTAGTGTTATTTGTGATACAAGGATTAACTAAATAACTATGTATTAATTAGTATAAAGATGAGATTTAGATGACAGCAAGAAATTTAGCAAAAATTGGTTATGTATCTACTTAAAAGTTAGGCCAACAATAGGTTATAATCTAATCTCAATTTAAAATGAGAATATAATTATCAAAGTTCCTATTCTTTAGGGGATGCAATAATTGTAAAAAGACTCAGAATTTCATTGCTCAAAACATCAGCTGAAACATATAATATACTTTTAATACTGGCAAGCAGGTATTTTAAATGCCATGCCTTACTTTACATTAACAACCTAGGCAAAATTATAGTAAGCAACCCACTATAGGTCTTCCAAAACAACCCCCCTCCCACAAGATCTCTAGGATTTGAGAGAGGGCAGAATATTCACCTGGTTTGTTCAGAGAAGTTGTAAAGGCCTGTTGTATCCCACTGATCTATCGTATTTGGTGTACTCAGTCCCCAAATTTCAGAGCAAGTGCTGTGCATAAATTGAAAAACAAAAATTGATGTGAACATGGAAGCATGGTTATTCAAAATACCATGATGTAAAACATGGAAAATGTACAGAATACTTCCTTCACCCAGAAAATATACACCTTCACTTTTCCACAGGCATTAACTACTGGTTTCTATATTTTCTATATGAAGGAAGCCAATAAAATGGAATATGTGACTCCAGGTAAGTTATGATTATGTTTTTAAAATGTGAACATCAATGTTCTCTAGCTTAATGAAATCACACCTATAATGTCCTTTCCACTTTTTTCTCCTTACAACAAAAGATCCAATACCCATACTTTTAAGACTAACAGTGCTTCATGTTATAATTCAGTTATTAAAAAACATCTAAAAGTGGCTGTCGACTGGTATTTTCAATATACAAAAAATTCAATTAAAATAGACACATTTCCACAGTTAAGATTTGCAGGTTATTTGGTTGAGGTATTGACATATAAAGTTTTACTAAAAATTTTCTGACTACTACAAAGAAAAAGAAAGTGGATTTTAAGTCATTCTATTATAGCAGACCACTTTAAAAGTCTTAAGATACTACTGTGAAATACCAAAAATATGTAAAAGCTTCATATTCTTCAAAGAGAGAATAAATACAAGAAATATGACTGATCTTTCTTTTTACCAAGTCAATACACTTGAAACACAAAGACCACAAAAGCTCAACATTTTTCTTCATTGTGTCTTTACAGATTATCAGCAGCCTGGAGACAATTCTCCCTATTTACTCTGCCACTATACTTCATTTCAAAGTAACTTCCAATCTGTGGGAGAAGGAAAGAAGAGTTGGAAAGGAAATGTGGAATGAAACTTCTGAGTGCCAAAGTCCTTTAAAGTTCTAACTTGCACTTTTAAAATTAAGAGTCAAAGGTAATTTCTGAAATTGCTTTTCACATATTACAAAATCATGAAAATTTCAAGGAGGAGGAAGGAACAATTCAAAACAACTTAGAAGTAAAATCAAACAATACATTAAGTCCCAGACTCACAGACTGCCAGTGAGTGAACTAATCAACATGTCAAGGTTAGGCAATGGTGAACAGTCATCTTCCTGTGGCGGGGCAACACCCAATCACATGGGCTCCTGGGTTTCAGAGGTGCAGGGCCTCTTACACAGACCCTGGACTGCATTAACATTTCATGTAATGCTTACAAAACTACTGTAACCTATTACTGGATGGCTTTTTAAAAATATTTTTTCAGATATTTAAAATATTCTATAACACCTTGAGAAATTTTACAGATTCTCCTGCTTTTTATAAGTTGTAGAAATTTCTTTCATTTTCTAAACTATAAAAATCAGAAAACGTCAAGAAACTTTTTTTCCCCAAAAGGGTAGAGACTAAAACACCGTAACATAAATGGTTCATTTATTTAAGCTATTTATTAAATATCTACTGGAAACAAAAAGCACCAGGTAGTTAAAATCATAATAGAATCAAGTAAAATCTAGTCTTAAGAATCTTAATTTGGACCTCAGAACAGTATTCAACTTTTCCTTCTTTGAAAATAATTGGAGGAAAATGGTTAACAAGAGCAGATCAAGAGGCTATTCTGCTCTTTTGAGACTAAAGATTTCACTCAAGTAACTCTGGGGCTGACAGAAGAAGAACCAGAATATGAAGAGCTTAAGTTGTGCTTTTCTTCAAGCCTTGAAATTAGCCAGAGAATAGTAAGCAGTGCTTATAAGAACATGCAACCAGTCTAAAGCTAAGAGACCCAGATCCCATTCTCAATTACTTTCCAGTTGCCACCACAGGCATACTGAAACCTCAGTTCTTTCACTCCTTACAGGATCTCACAAAATTTTAAAATGTTAAGTTTGCTTCTAGACAAGATGTTTATTTTTGTTTTATAAGAATAAATCTTTTTAAAAAGAATCTGATATGTAACAAAATCTACAAAGCACCTACAATAAAGTAACTACAACTGTGCAAGGAAACCATTTAAACACACAAAATACAAAATTCAACTGAACAAAGAGAAAAAGACCATCTATGTTTGTAGACAGGAAGACAACACCATAGCAATATGAATTCTGCTAAATTTACAGTTCTAATGTTCTCAATAGAAATGAAAAGCATTTTAAGATCCAAACAAAATTATTCCAAATATAATAGGAAAATATCATGACCTACCAGGAAAAGAAATAGACAATAAGAAGAGAATAAGAACTGGCCCTACCAGATTCTGAAACACATCATCATCAAGACTCAGTTATCAGAAACAGTGTGCAACTGAGCAGCAGCACACCCAAGACAGAACAGAGGGTGAGCAGGCAGAGAAGCCTCATTGGGCAAACATTCCTTGGGATAAAAATAATAACTTCTGAACAAAACATAGTAAAAACAAGTTATTTGGAAACAATGAAGAGATCCCTCCTCAGAACAAAAAAAAAAAATTGAAGGAGAGAAAACTCTGATTAAGCAGGAGAAACACAGGCTGGAATGTGTTCGGTGGCGTCGGAGGCAGGGCAATCAGACCCATGCAAAAACGGGAGCTGTACTGACCTGCAGTCAGAGGATGATTAGGCTCCCAGAGAGGCTGGGAAAGGAGGAAAAGCCTGTGAAGACCTCGAGGAGGACAGACCACTTAAATGTTAAGTGTGAGCTGCCTAGATCCTTTCTGACCCTGACACATGTAGGAGACTGCAGTATTCTGAAAACAAGTCCCTGAAAGTGCAAAGGAAATATGCTGAAATGTCAGTTCTTTACAGCAGAGGCAGATAGTTTGGACTCTGAGGCCACCCAAAACTGTACGCTAAAACAAAAATCAACATTCTTGAAAGGAAGACAACAAAAGTCAGAGTCTATATGTTTTCCCAAAACTACTGAAAACATGAATAACCAGTAAATGCTACCTGCCCCCACCAAAAGAAAAAACATCCAGTAGAAACAAACACCACTCCAAAAGATGAATTAGAAGAAAATTTTAAAGTAACTATTACATGTCCATGGACAATGAACAGATGAGAATCTAAGCTGCATAATGAAACTATAAAAAGGAATCATAAGTAAATTTTAAAACTAAAAATTTCAAGTCAGATATAAAAAAAATTCAACTGTTAAGCTAGAGAAAATTGGAGAATCAGTAAATCTGAAGATGAATCAACAGAAATTATCTAACCAGAAGAACTGAAATTAAAAAAGACTAAACAAAATGGTGTCGATATATGTATCCCAGAAAGGGGGAAAGCCAGGATAAGAAAAAAATATATGAAATAACGACTAAAACAGTATCAAATTACACCGTCCAAAAACCTTAATCAACACCAAGTAATTTATATACAAAAAAAAAAAAAAAAACCACACACACACACAGGCAGACACATCACTGTCAAAATGCTAAAGACAAAGATGAACAGAAAATCTTTGAAGTGCAAAGAACTACAAAATCTCTGCACTTAGTCTTAACTCTAGCACAACTTCTAGCAGTCGAATCCAGATCCTTTCAAGTTCCTGTCTGGAAAAGCTCATGGCTGCCCAATTCACCATGTGTTCCTGCCAACACCTGTCCAGAAGCCCTTGACATCCTTTTTTAGAGTACTTACTTAGAAAGCTTATAATTTACACCATTAACCATTACTCTTTTACTTGTTGACATGTAAAAAGTGTCTCCTACAACTCAGGACTCTTTCTCAAGGACCTGAAAGCCATTCCTTTGAAATGTAATCAATTATCAGACGGATAGGGCCTCTGCCTCCCAGTCTTCTCCTCAAAAGAAAGGCAGACTCTAACTTTTGATCAATACTTTTTAGCTGACTCAGATGACCTGATCATAGATACTGACCTATTTTGTGAATAATTTTTTACTTCCATGACTCTGCATTGAGCCCATGCTGGATCCTCCCCATCTTCCCCATTCGTCTAGTCACCTCTATACAAACTGGAATTGAAATCAGACCTTTCCCACACTGCAGTAGTTACTGAATAAAAACTGTTTTTTTCACATTTAACCAATGCCCAGCTTTGTATATTTTTGACAGCATCCAAAACAGAACAATTCATACATGTAAAGGAATACACACATGAATAATGATTTCTCATCTAGTTTCTGCTTTCATAGACGCATAGAAACCAGAAGACAATGAGTCATCTTTAGAGTTGAAAGGAAAAGCTTCCCAACCTAAAATCTACAACCAACAAAAATATCCACTTTAAAATAAGCCAAAATAAAGACATTCTGATGAACAGAAACTGCAACATTTCTAACAGATTTTACACAAAGAAATTCTAAAGGAAAGTTCTCTGTGAAAACTAAATCACAGACAAAAATGAAAAGAACTAGAAATTAAGTAAATGCAAGAGGATATTCTTTCAATATTTATAAAAGGGAGATGACAAATTATACTAAAATTATAACTAAAAGAATATGTACTTAACATGATATATACTTAGCATGAAATAAAATAGTTTTACTGTTGCCAAGCTAAGGATGCATCTAGTAAGCAATCACCCTTTTAGAAAAGCAAAGAGATACAGCTAAAAAGCATATAGAAAATGAAGATGAAATACTAAAACAAATCCCAAAAGAAAGGAAAAAAACAAAAACAAATAGGAAATAAAGAGTAAAATGGCAGACTTAAATCCAACCATATCAATACTTTAAGTAACAATGGTGGAAATTAAATCTCTTAGGCTCAATGGTAGGCTTAAATCCAACCATATCAATACTTTAAGTAACACTGGTGGAAATTAAATATCTTAGGCTCTCAAGTTTGTTAATAAGAAGTGACAAGTTTTAACTAAAAGGATGACAAGCTTCTAATATATGTTAAAAGAAACAAATGCTAGGGAAATAACACTGATCTTAACTATATAAAGGGCTTACACATTCCTTATTTTAAGAAATCTAAATTGTCGTCTACTTTAAAATATATTACTTTATGTTACATGTAAAAGAAAATATTTGTTCCAATATTTGTAAAAAGCTGTGGATATCATAATCAATGAAAGATGTAGTAAC